CTAGACTAGGATTTTTTTTTCAATCCATATTTACATATATAATAAACTCGATTATATTTATATTGAGCAATAAATGCACTGCTATATGGTTCTTTTAGTAAGTCTGATTTATAAATAACTATGTTAAAAAAATTTCTTTATCATATATGGATATGGCAGTGTTTAGTTCATGTATAGAATTGAATATAGCATTAAGACAATAAATATATATTATTGTATTTAAAATAATTATAAATCCATAATAATAATTCATTATTATTATATAAATGAATTTGTTAGATACGTATAACATTTAAAAAAAATTTTTTTTAAATATATTACATTTATTTTTAATTTTTATAGCTAATGGTGATTTAAAATATTCGGTTTTAAAATATTTGGCTCGGCCCAGGTATTTTAAAATAATCTTTTTAGGCCCGGCCCAGTTATAATAAAAAAAATTAAAATCCGGCCCATGTAACTGGGCCGGGCTTGAAAGTCTCTGATAGATAAACAAAATTTATCATCTATTTTTCTTTTATATCCCTTGATTTTATGAAAGAAATTGGCAAATGTTATATTAAATTTGTTATTTCAATTATTAATTTTAAAAGTGATGAATAGAAATCATCTAAAAGACATTTTCTTTTTTTAAAGATAATTACAATTGCTATTTTTATGATAATTTTTTTTATTTATAGCTATCCCATAAAAAAAATAATGTCTGATGTTCATTTTTTTTAAACCCGAACCACCCACTTGAAATAAAATTATCTTATAGCGTAACTTAATTGAGCGTTTCGTAATATGCAAAACGCAAACAATGCATTTCAAATGATATCTTGCAAATAACAATTTATAAAAGTCAATAAAAACGCAAACATTTTGCCTTTTTTTTGGAAAGAGAAAGGGTTTTAAAGATATTATTTTTTTAAATTTTCTCTGATTTACGCAATAATTTCTAATCACCCCCAGCGATTTTTTTGGGAAAGCCTATCACGTCCAATCACAGTTTCTAAATTTAAAATTTATTCACATTTGCGGCCTGACCCAATTGGTCAGGGCCCGCGCTTACCTTTAGTTTAAATTGAAAATAATTAATCTTAACCAACTGAATCTGTTTTTTTAAAAAAAAATTTGTTTCGTTTTGGATTCGCAAAAAATGCCACTTAAACCACTAATTAATTTTAACAAAAAATTCTGGTTCTAGCTAATGTTAAGAGAGATGTTACTGTTGTGATTCAATGTTTTTATTTTAATTTTTTAATACAACCGTTTGTGGTTTTGGATTATAATTTGCATACTATAATTCGGTCGATTATTATTATATTAAATCGAATGTTTTTTTCATATTTTCTTATACACTATGTAAATCGTGAAATAGGTTGTATAAATTTTATTTGTTGATATTTGGTATAATTGAAAATGTTTATATTTTATGAAAATTCTTTATATATTTGTATATTTCACTTTTAACTTTGATACGTGTTTATGTAAATTTTGTATATTATTAAATAAATTACGCAAATGGGTATTTTGATTATTAATTAATTATTTTTATTTTTAAGTGCTTTATTATAATTATCAATTTTTCTTCAACTAAGTGGCATAGCTACGGGGGTGGTTTGGGGTTTGAATCCCTCCCAGGGCAAAAAAATGTAAATGGTTACTACTGAATTCCTATCAATGTTTCTCTAATTTTAACGATAAATTTAGGTTTATATTTTGTTATCTTCTATCAATTGTAATAATTACAAAAATATTAACAATTGTGACTAACAAATCTAGGCAAAATAAGTGTGGCAGATTAAAAATAATAAATCTCCTTAATGTTTGCACATATGAATTATAAATAGATTCACTGTTATTTTATTGATAGTTATTTAATGTGCCGTTGCCGATGTTTAACATAATTCAATATGGATTATTGTGCAACACGTAAACATATCATGTTGATTAAAATAAATTTTTACAAGATAGCTAACTGAATTTTGGTTTATATATTTTTTATATTTTTAAAACGATAAAGTAGAATATATAAATAAAATAGTAATAATATTAATAAATTTAAGTTTTATTATAAATTATGACTATCAGCAGGTAAAAAATAAAGTAATGAATAGTCATATATGGAATAACAGATTAACATAGTTTACCGAGAAGGGTTTAACTCTATTGGCGGCTTCTCATGTCAACATTTAGCATATTGAAATATTCATTACCTGTGGAATACCTTGTAAAAAAGTAAAAGAATCTGTTCTCTGGATATATTTATTCAATTATTGCCATGGCACAGAAGAAAAACCACTACCACTTTTTCCACACATTTATAAAATTATAAGTAATATGTTAATTTTATAAAATAGTAAAAAAGGTATAAATGTTAAAAATATTATATCAGCTATAAAAATTGTTAAATGTCAAATTTATATAATTTTAATTATAATTAACAAATTGATTTGCTAAGCATCTAAAATATAATAAAAAATAAAACTAGACATGATTTCAAATAGCCTTAGCCAAAAGTCGAAAAAAGGGTTGAACTTGAAGGCCCATTAATGGGGGTAGATGGGCACACCGCTTCAACTTATAAAGTTGTCTTGGATAATGATATATCCCTCTTATAACGTGTGTTTTTTGTTAAGAACTAGCACACAGCATTTTTGTTTATGCCTGATGTATACATACCCCACTAGCCCAATTAATAAAGTTATAAAGCAAAAAAATTCCCAAACTCGAATTCTAACTCGCGTCACAAACACTGGCTGATTCAGAAGTATTAATCAAATCTCTTACCTCTTGCACCAACTTAAAATGTTAAAGAAAATGATGTATTTTTTAAAAATATATGGCTCTAGAAAATATATAATTACTCAAAGATTACTTCACCATGCGGGATGGAAATATTAATAATATTTTCAAGAAACCACCAATTCATTTTTTTAAATATATAGTTATTAATATTATAAACGCTGCAAGCTGTAACATAAAAATAGAGAAAATATATTTATCAAGGTATATGTAATGTAGCCTTAACCTCATCTTTGATTAATTTTATATATTTTTATTATTATAAAAGTCGTTTTAAAAATAAGTTACGCGTTGGAATATTTTATTATTTTTTTTCATAAATATAACGTAAAATTTAAGACCTCGTTATTAGTAAACCTGACACAGGGGACGAAAAATTTTTTTTGTTCAATATCAGAAAGTATTATTAAATTACTTCATGTGACCTCGAAATATATGTCGTAGACTTAGAATTATTTTCTAATTAAAATTTCGGGCCTAAAATAGAAACACAGGCTCGAGCCTAAGCAATTTAAAGATATTTCGAGCCGGGGTTAAACTTAAAAAGTTTTGGCGAAAATGAAACCAGTTTTTTCTTGAACCCATTCCTTTGGACTAGGTTACAATATGGTTCTATGGGGAACCATAGTTAAAACCCTATCCCTAACCCTCAAGCTATTTTAGCAACTAATTTTAATTCATACAAAGCCGATGCCCAAAAATGATAATTAACCTTTCAATTAAAACATTTTTTTTATAGTTATGAAATTTATATATATAAATTTGTTAAGGAAGAGAGAAAGAAAGAAGGCACTGTTAATTTTTTTTTCATCCTATTTCTTTTTATTTACCTTTAAATTTAAATTTACACATATAAATTTAAATTTCGAAAATTAATTATTGAATGATATATTTAAAATAAATTGAATATTGCTCATTTTTTCAATAAATATGCTACATTATTATTTTGTTATTAAGTATCAGTTAATCTGTTAGTATCGGTTTTGATATGTTATTGGCTAAATAAAAGTTGTATCGTTTCATATAAAAGAAATAGTTTAATAAAATTTTATTGTTAGTAAATTGCCCTTAAGGTGACACAAACTATCTTTAAAAAAAGCGAATTAAAACCCAATAAAATCCATGAAGAGGGAAGCTACCAAGAAACCACCCCATCATCTAAAGGCATATTCAGGATTTTCCTATAGGGGAGAAACACTATTAGGTAGGCCCTTTCACCATAAATTTTATTAGAGGTCTTTAGGTCCACTTATTGGCTGTATTATATTTTTATAAAAATAATTATGAGTTTTGATTTAATTTTTTTTATAAAAAAGTTCTTTTTCTAAAAATTTTAAATTATAGTCGTTATTTTAAAGAGTTTTATTAACTTGTACTAATTTTTTTTTCAAATTCTTTGTTTATGGTGATGTAATGTATAATTTTTGGAGGAGAGTGGAAGGTGTAGAGTAAAAAAGGTATCCCCACTGGTCACACACCTGCCACCACCTGTAAGGAGAAAATCCTGATTATGCCAGTGTAATTATCCTTTTTTTAGTGATTGGAATTTTCGAAATTATGGCTATTCCCATTGGACTGAAAAACTGTCTTATAAATAAAATATTTGGTCTAGTCTAGATTTTTAAACAAGTTTGTGGTCAACTACTTCTCACTCGCCATTTAAAAGAGATTTAACAAAATTTTGTAGGCCAAATTACTTTACATAATTATTTTGACTGAACAATGTCACACTAAAGCCATAAATAATTGACAACCCTCAATTATTCAATGGATAAGATTTAAAGTTAGGAGGTGCTGCAGGCCATTCATGCTTTCACCTGAAGAATAAAATATTAATGTTTTCAGCCATTAGATAGCCTCTTAAATTTTTTTTATATAGGTATATTTCTTGTGGGAAAAGATAGTCAGGAAAGATGTGGTGCCATTAAATAGCTTTTAAAATTTATATGGGTTTAATTTTTTTGTGGGAAAAGATTGTCATAAAATATGTGGCTAGAGGAACATTTGTATACCATTAGTTCTAGTGGTTGCATCAGTCAGCAAACAATCACATTGAGCTTTAAAACCTAAATGATTGAATTGTTTATTAAACTGGGAGATAAAGGAAGATTATGTTAGTAAATCTAGCAGTTCAGTTAAAACAATTGAACTGATTAAAACTTTTTTTAAAACTATCATTGAATATCAAAATAATTTTTAATTACTATTAGGGCATATTCAAATTTCTCAAGTTCCTGATCGTCATGAGCCAGATAGTGATGGAGAATTAGATTATCATTATATATTTAACCTATTACAATCACTTGAATATAGTGGCTTTATTGGACTTGAATATAAACCCAAAGGTATGTTTATTTATTTTATAAATATCAGTATTATTATTTGCTAAAGATGTTATTATAAGAATAATTATAACATTTTTTGATCTAACATCTGCAAATAAATTTTATCATAATATATTAGAATTTATGAATATTTCATACTATAAATTTTCAAAATATCATTTAATTGAAAATTTTTAAATGTGCCATGATTATTTTATAAATTTTAATATTCTATAGGAGATACAATTGATGGTTTGAAGTGGCTTAAAACATTCCCAAATTGTTCAATTGGATGAAATTATAGAAATCATAACTGAATCAATAAAACTACACAAATGTTTTTATATTTATATAGAAAAAATGAAAATCAATTTATTTTATCAAACATACATGCCATAAATTCAATATATCTAGATAATAAATTATATCAATGCAAATCTACTATGAGTAAATATTGATTTTTATTCTTTCTTGGGTTTTCTTTCTCTTAATGATGCCTTTATCTTATTTATCTTTCTTGCTTCTTTATCCTTCTTTTCAATCTGTTTTGATAGTTTCATCGATAGATATGCGCTTAGTAAAAAGAATGGTGTAAGTATAATAAGAACGTATAACACGAAGGTTCCAGGATTTTTTGAAGCATATTGTATCAGGTCCTTGGAATAACGATCAAAATACTGTTTTATCTCATTCATAATTTGAATATTTTTATACATCCCTTATTTAAAAATATAAAATGTTAATAAATATTTGAGTATATATTATGAACATTAAATAACAAGGAATAAATGTATTAATATATTTCTTACCGTTAAAAATTTACTTTCAAAAATTAACGTATGATTTCAATCAAGTACCACTAGAAATATATATGAGTTATTCCTGTGAGTCGAAATGAAAATATTTTATAAATATAAATTATGATGAAGATTTTTCTCCTATGGTTTAAAAATTTTAATTATAATATATCTGTAGCTGAAGTTTAAAAATGTATGATGATTAAAAAATTTAATTATTTATCTGAAGCTGGAGTTTAAAATTTATAAGTATTATTCTCGAATGGAGATTTTAATAGTATGCTTAGAATTACTAATGTAGCTAAATATATCTCATTCATCTAATGCATAATTTTTTGGTTCACTTGCTTTAAAATCTTACTTATAAAAAATCGTTAGAATAGTTGAATTTAATAAATAAACTAAAGCATATTTTTTGAACAAAGAGGTGAATTTAAATAAGGGCAATTGTTTTATACAAAACTTAAAATTTGTATATTCTGATTTATTATAAAAAATTATATATGATTAAGATTTAAGGGCTATATACACAAATTAACGTAGTTTAATTATATCATGTATTTAATCAATTTCTCAGTTAAAAAATTAAAATTATATGCTAAATTAAATAATATAAAATAATTGTTTAAACATTTATAATTTAAGTTAATATTTATGAAGCCATATACCATTAAGATCTTATGTTTTACAAATTGAATTTCCATTCCATTACAAAAGTGTAGATTTGTAACGTCAGGCGTGCTTTTGTGCATTTAAAATTTAAATTACATTCGCATTTATTATTGCATTTTACAAATCTATTGCGACATGGACGAAGATTATTCAAGTAATTATATAATATATAAAATGGGAAATACTTATTTGACATAATTTTTTACTGTACCTATTTGTATTAAATTATATTTTTAATGCTTTTCAGATATAAGCAAAATGGTTACATATATATTTTGTCAATCATTTAAAATAATTCTATTAATTTATATATTTTTAATTTGTAAATATTAAATTTAATATAATAACTGGTTATTTGCATTGCGCCTAATTTTTCAGGCCAGGCCTGATCCTGAACAATTTTTTTTATATTTGGCCCAAAAAGCCAGACCCAAAATAAAAATTGTTTGCCCACCCAGCTGGGCTAAATTTATTTAAAGAAAAATTTAACAGTTTTTTTTAAATGTAAAAAATTTTCTATATATGGCACCTTGTTTCATGCAAGAATTTTAAAATATAATAATTATTTCATAAAATTAGATGATATATTTAAATTTTAAACCTGGCCCAAATTTTTATTATAATTATTAGGAGCTACTTAGCCTGAACAAATTTATTTTTGAAAAACCCAGCCAGAAGCCTACTTGAACCAGGCTTAGCCTGGGCTGGAATTTTCAGATTTAAGGCTTTACTAATGCGTAAAATTCAATTTATGTAGCTTTTAAAAAAATTTTCCTTACCTTCACAATTATTTGACATAATTTCTAGAAAATAATATTCATTTATAAACATGTCCATGATTTTCATAAAGGTGGTGAACATAGTTTTTTAAAAAATTTTATTTATATTGTAAATCCACTTTTTGAAGGTTCATGTCTATTACATTTTTTAAAATATTTTTGATTTTACACTTATTTAAAAATTTTTCAATTATAGCCATTAAAATATATCTACTTATAAAATGGCATACAATTTTTTTTGAGAAAGGGGAGGGGAAGTCTAAAGGGCTTTTTTATATTAAAAATGACATTTATAAAAACTGAGTGTTGTTAAACATTGATTTATCTAATTTTAAATCAAGATTTTAGCCAAAATAATTTTACACAAGTCCTGTGATTTTGTTAATTAAATGTCCAAATCTTTCTGCCATCTATGAGCCTAATCTTCATGCTTGTATAATATATATTAGCTAAAATACTGAGTTAGCTGCTTTAAAAAATCTAGCCATTTAACAACACTAATTTTCCAATTGCTTCATCCCTCCCCTTGATTATTGTTGACTGAGTATTATAGCTTTATATATCCACTTTTATGCAAACGCTTTTTTTATAAATAATTCTTCAGTATTGTATTCTTATATATCCACAAATGTTATAATATAATTGAAAATATTCATTTATTCATATTTTTACACATGTGATTTCCTATATTTAAAATACAAGAAATCTTTTTTTTTTAAAAATATTCCTGAAAAATTTTAAAAAGATTGACATAGAACATTATAGTACTCAATTGATATTATACCAATGACAATTGATAAAAAAAAATAAGAAACATGGATAAATAGAATTGGTCTATTAATTGTAATAAAATAAAAGGACTTATGTTTTTTGTGACCTAAAAAGAGATTTTAATATACAATTATGAAACATAATTGTTTTATATCTCCAAGCCATTATTGTCATAAATTGATTAAATTTTAATTATTTTTTATGTGAGATATTTATTTTTTATTTCATAGCATTTTTATTTTTAAAATCTGATATCATTGCTTTTTTTCTTTTCAGGCCCACTGGACTCAGAGATTTCTCCTAAAAGTGTAGGTAGATATGAAGAAACTGGTGGGGTAGATTTGGATTTCCAATTTTGCTAATTTTATTTGTTTACGATAATTTATTGACAGAATTAAAAAAAAAAATTTTTATTTCTTTTTTAATTTTAAATAGAAATAAATTATATTAGAGTAATCAGATGATTAAGAACATGCGATAAAGTTATTAACAAAATTAATAATTTAATTTAAAAAGCCAAGTCAATTTTTAATGTAATTATTTAAAACAGTTACAAACCTTTAAAAAAATTTAGATAAAAATTAATTATAAAATAATGCATCGTGGGTACAGATACAAGTATCTTAAAAAATACGAAATATAAGATACTTTATCTTTTGCTAAATATTAAAGAAATTTATCTATTGCTTCTGCACAATACCCTCAAAAACGATGAGGAAATCTATCTCCTGGTTCATAAAAAAAATCAATATCATCACTTTCCCACCCAACTGTTATAAAGGAATTGAGTGTGACAAAACAAGTGGAAATGGAGTGATGTAGAAATCAACCAACAGAAATACATATAAAAATATATATATGTTATTGTTTTAAATGAGGCTGAAAGATAAATTCCTAATAAATACCAACATTCTATGTTTTTATTCTTACAGACGAGCTATCTCAAAAAATTTCAATTTGTCTAGAAAAATTATCTTCTAAAAACCTTATATTGATGGCTATAATAGAATACTTTTAAAGAGACAATAAAAATATTATTTTTAATACAATCAACAAATCGAAATTACATAAATATTACTACTATTTTTTGTCTAGTAAACTGTATCCATAGGACTACTCCAAAATGTTTGACAGTGAAATAATAAATAGTTATATTTTGTTCCAACCCATAAAATAGTGATGATGATTGTTTTTAATAACATTGATTAATACAAATATGGACAAGAAATCATGAAAATCGAATTAACTAATTTTATACAACGCTACACCTTATTAAAAAAATGGATGTCAGTTGCAAGATACAAAAAGGACCTTATAGATAAAGTATTCCTGGCACTGCCCAACTCAGTGCAAAATTATTTTAAATGACTAAAGTTTTAAAACGACATTTCTAGCTAAGTATCGAATTAGCCGTTTATTAAAAATCGGCTCAAATCTAGCCGATTAACAACACTAGATGAAACACTCCGTTAAAAATCGATTGTAAATTCATTACTATATCAAGATATCATTAAATCCACTTTCATCCCTAACACAATGCACCCATGACTATCCATGCATATCCAGCCAGATTGCGGCATTAAATTTTATCATGCTGCTGTCTACCTGATATTTTTTTTTGTTTGAAATGATATAATTCCCAAATTAAAAATTATAATAATATTTCAATACCTAGGCCTAAAATCAAATTTAACTGTCTTTTTCCCTTCTTTTAAAGAAATAAAACATAATTATAATTTACTCTTGAGATATTAAAATTGCCAAAATAATATGAGATAAACCTCCAGATTTCTTTAATACATGTGCAAACCTTTCTGTATGAGAAGTTTCCAGGTTTGCTTGATATTTTTTTGGCTAAAATATTGGGCTACTGGCCTATGGGTTTGCAAGAGGTAAATTAGCTAAAAATTAACGATACTTCGATTTCCAAAGAATCCGAGAATTTATCCATTGAAATAATTAATTTTACAACAGTCATTTGGCAAACAAGTTTTATTTTTGACGCCAAGCATCACTGATAAATTTATATCAGAATATTTTAAACTACCCCGTTATTGACATATTAGCATTTTATATTGTAAAAAAAAAGTTACTTCGACATCCAATAGAATCCGAAAATCCATCCACCATTTACATAACTTTGAAATGATTCGACATCCAAAGATAAATAACTTTTCGAAATAATAATTAATTATATTTCACAACACAAGATTTGCGGAATCATTTGGCAAACACAAGTTTTATTTTGACAAGAAAGCTAACCATCATTGATATATCGTATTTATGTAGAATATTTTATAACATCACTGACATATTTACATTTTATATTGTAGTTTACTATTTATTTATTTTTTTTTACTAAAAACCCAATCAAAAATAAAATTATTCGTTAACCAATTTTTTTTTTTCAAAAAAATAATAAGGAAAAGATCTTTTTCCATCATCTGTTATCTTATTATATAAATTTTTTTAAAAAGTTGGGAAATAGTCAAAAATTTTAATTTACCAAAATAATAAAATTAAAAAAAAATATTTTAATTTTTATTTACACTTTGCCCGTGAAATTTTTTTAAAAAAATTATCTCTTTATTTGAAGGATTCCGAAATTATTCTTTTTTTTTAAAAATATAAAATATAATTTGATTCTTATCGTTCTTATTTATCTGGTGGAAGTAAATATTAGAGATTTTAGGCACAATTTAGAAAGGTAAAAAAAGAATTATTAAAATATTTCTCGAACATTTTTTATTTTATTTTTCTTTATTTTTACCGGGTTCAAATTCGATTCAATTCATGGAAAATCGGGTTGGAGTGAGTAGATTTGAGGGGAAGATGAATTTGTTTATTATTAAGGAATAAATTGCTATGGAAAATCATTCTACTATTTATCTTTGCGTTTTGCCTACTCCTGAATTGATTATTATGTTTTAATCTTTAACGGACTTAGTTGTCCATTAATGTCCATTCTGATGTTGGATATAGATTAACCCCCCCCCCCCCCCCCATCACCCATTATTATTAACTCAATGTTTTAACATTCATCAACTATTTTTTTTAAAGATAAAATAAAATATTTGTATACCTTTAACAACTATTTGAAATATAATTTTTATCCAGTTTTCTGGTCTCGAAAACTTTTGGAATACATAATTTTTTTACAACATTTCCCCCAGAAATTAAAATGGTCTAATTTACGATATGGTTTATACGATCTCTCATATAAAATTGAAATATTCCAGTATTATTAATTTAACAAGAAATGGTCCCTTCAAGAGATTTTAAATTTGGTCCTAGGGTATATGATTTAAAATATTTTATACAAGGCGGGCTTATATAATTTTTTAAATTAATTTTTAAAACATATAAAGAGCAGAGCAGGGCTGTGAACCCTCCTAATCGGTTGAGGTTCAGGTGTGTTCGATGTTCAGTTACATAAAAAGGATACACTAATATAAAAATCTATTACACAAAAATTTTTAATATAAAAAAACAATGATGTTTTAAATATTTAATATGTTTTTTATAAATATTACATGTTATTTTTTTTTAATGGTGTTCAAAATTTTTATAATTTAAAAGAATGTAAAATGAAATAAAGAAATTTTAATAAAAAAATAAAAATAAATGAAAAATTTTAAAAATTCCTTAACCCTACATTTAAGAAAGGATTCAGGGTCCGGTTTGGGTTCTCAGCCCTGATAAAAAGCCAAACCCAACCAATGGTTGGACGATTTTTTTAGCTCAATAACTAGGCCGCCCGTTGCAGGCATCTAGACGATACCTTTTATAATTTTATAAAAAATTTTACCGACTGGGTAGAGCGCGGCCTATTTTAACATAAAATTTAGTTGGCCACGATGATACACTGGCCGGATTAAAAAGGTAACAACTTTTGGGGTGTGGGAGAGGTCTTCTATCAGGCATATAATCGATTTATATTCAAATGGCATGCTTATTCACTATCACTAAAATATTTCAATTTACGAGATCATTATGTTATATATCTCTTATTATCTAATATCTAGATAACAACCATTATTCCCACAATAACAATATGTCGGGAGTCCGAGTAGTCAGACAGAGCAAATTCCGGCACGTGTATGGGCAGGCGGCCAAGCGGGAGAATTGTTACGAAGGCATTCGCATCACAAAATCGTCTAACGATTCCAATTTCGTCGCCATTAACCCCAAATTTATGGCCGTTATAACGGAGGCCGCCGGGGGAGGCGCGTTTTTGGTCCTCCCTCTTGAAAAGGTAACTAACCTTTAACATTCAAAACTTATATTTTTTTTGAGAACCACTTAGCTAAATGAAGCTGATGACCATTATAATTACGAGTGACCGATAAATTTTTTTTTGCTCTTTACTGCCAAAGATAAGCCCTTTGATCGTTCTGGACGAAAAACGGGTTATGAATTTAAGTTAGTTTATATATTTTAGGCTTTAAAAAAAATTTAACTTACACTTCAACGCAGCGGGCTTTTTTTTATCTCCTCGCGTCTTTGAATGTCAACTGATTACACATCTAGTCGTTTTATCGGGAGAACGATTAGTATAGTACAAATAATTGCTAATTAGCTAGATTTGCTACTTATGAGCCTATTACTTAAATTTACTAATTTGTCAAAGAAAACGCTCAATTTAGACAAGATTTATGCGGTACTTGATAATTAAAAGATTATTTTGTAAGCTAATAGCTTTGACATGTAATCTTTATGAAAATAATAATAATATCTGTAACCTTCTTAATGATTTCATTTTTCCATGTTTTTAAATCATTGAACTAGAAATTAATTTCATGTCTAACATTCATTCATTCAATTAAATTTTTTTTTTGAATTTATCTTGTTATTATTATTTTCTTTTATTTTAAAAATAATAATATTTTTTTAAAAATTACTACCAATCAGCTAACTTTTCGACAAATACGGTAAGAACGTTTTTCTGATAAAAAAAATAATTAAATTTTTTTTTTGTTTTTGTTTTTGTTTCTTATATATTTTGAAAAGATATTGATTTTGATTTTGATTTTAATATATATTTTTTAAAATAGTTATTACTCTTTGGAATTATAATTTTTTTTTAATCTAGCCCCCACATCCTGTCTGTATATGTTTTCAAAAGCAGGAAAAAAAAAAATAATAATGATAAGATTGATTAGCTGCCAAAAAATAAATTAATATATGTATGCTTAGACCGAGTTTAACTAAGTCTCACTAACTCCCTTGGTTTGCCAAATATTAAACATTATAAAATCTCTAAAAGTCCAATATAGCTGAATCATATAAGAATCGTCAGACGCAATAACCAAAAAAAATGTATAAAATTGATAAACGTTATTATTGGGCCTACATTATTGTAACTAGAATCTGGCACGTCTAAAATTATAAATCCATCTGAAGCGGGCCTCGAAAAGTTGCACATGATACTATAAAAGCTGTCGGTAGCCTTATGTTTCCTTATAATAAATGCGATTTGTTCAAAGGGTGCTGTAATTAACGCTATCGAAATCATAGCCGATTCTTCACGGATTTTGAAATATACGTAGCAACATATGTTTTTCAAATGTTATAATAGCGTTTTCATCGTTTCGCTCCATATTACATATGTTTTTCAAATGTTATAATAGCTTTCGCTCCATATTTATACATTTTACCTATTTATTGGCTTGATTTTGTAAAAATAAATACCGCACCACTTGAACAAATTGCGTTTACTAATGAAGCGTTGTTTGAATTGAAATTTTCTCACAATTTAAAGTGCTCATACAGATTACGAGACCTTGCATTCACAGTTAGCACGAATTCGCGTCGAAGTATACAAAAATACCATATTTTATAGAATTCGTATCTGTGCAGGGTGATACCTTAATTTCAAAATTTTCGAATTATTTTTTTTTATCTAACTTTTGGCACTTACGCATTATAATTTCACAACAGGCACCCGGCTTTTTGGGTCCCGCTTGATTGACACGAATATTGTTATATCTACTATCAATTTTATTATTTAAAAAAAACTTAAAATCTCATTATCACGCCAAATTTAACTGTCTTACAATTTTTTGGTAGAAAATTCGCAAAAACATTTGTCATATTTTTTTAAATCTTTTTTTTAAAATATATATAAATTTTAGTTCATTATTTAAATTAAAATTTTTTTGGCCATAGAAACTTAATTATATATTTCATTTGAACTTGAAAAATTATACTTGGAAATAAAAAGTTTCCCAAAATTTAATTTAATCTAATCCGGAATTTATAATTTTCGCGCATTTATTTCCCATTTTATAGAAATTTTGTGGCGAGGGAAGAGAGTGACATCATTAAGTTAAAATTCATTTATTATGTTGACTAATGGGGTGGGGTAAATATATATAAAAAATATTGGCCCCTTGTTTCCTTTTTTTTGAAAAAATATTAGGTTCGGCTCGTAATCCGCTATCGGGCACTGGCCACTTTTGCGGAACTTTAACACGATGTCTGGTCTGTTCTAAACAATGACATATAATAATACCTAGACTTACGATGCATTCATAATATTGCATTTGAAAGCGTCGTTGAATGCAAATTAGTTGGACCCGCCATTTTGGTAACCCATATAGTAACTTCATGTTAAAAACGACTACTAAATTGATAACTTGCTTCCTTATTATCTCGATGATCAGGTTTGCGCTAGACATGGGAATAAATTGGCTTCTCGTTTAAAATTTTTAATAATGATATGGGTAATCAAAATCGCTTCCCCAGCTGTTTTCATTGATGTACATCTTTAATGAATGCAGCGTCAATCTTGGTATTATTTTATGTCATTGGTTCTAAATAGTAATTGTTAAAAATATTTTTAAAATATCATAATCTTTTAAAAATATCTAAAAAAATGGGATAATACATTACTTTTTTAAAATTTAATTTTATATATTTTCACCTTCCTACAATCATCTTTTAAAGTTCGGCAAAATCGAAAAGGACTACCCATTGGTACTAGGACACAAAGGTCCTGTTCTCGATCTAGCCTGGTGCAATTTTAACGATAACATTATAGCCTCGTGTTCCGAAGATACTACCATTAAAATATGGCAAATACCCCCTAGAGGATTAGGAAGGTTTTTTTAAAATGTCAGTTATAATATTCTTAAAACCTTGTATTCTTGGGTAATTGATAATTACTATATTTTTAGACATTTAAACCAATTTTTAGCCGTCCAAAAGAGCTGCTAAACCGAGTTTTTAGCCGGAAACTATGACTATGCATTGAAAGTGACTAATATAAATTTAAACTCCTTAATATTAACGGATTTTCTCCAGTTGAACTGAATTAGCCGACATGTAGCCTAGTGTTGTTAAACGGCTCGTTGGCCGATTTTTAAAAACGGCTAACTAAATATTTCATCCAGAAAAATATTATGCAAGCCTGAAGATTTTCCTAGTACATATATTATCTAAATCTCGAGGTTTAGGCAATATTTTTTTGGCTAAAATATAGAGTTAGCCGTTTTGAAAAATCGGCTCAAAACGAGCCGTTTAACAACAATGTAGCCATTACCCAACTATTGTAAGGAGACTATTACAAAGCAGAATACAGAATCATCGATTCAATTTTTTTATCCACCTTATTCATAAGTTGTTAAATAATTAATAAGGAATTAATTAATCATGTTTAACCATTAAGGTTACCCTTGGAAGACCCCGTGGTCGACTTGACGGCTCACGATAAGAGGGTCACGCAAGTCGCTTGGCACCCTTCCGCTAACAATGTTCTTTTAAGCGTCGGTATTTAAATATTTTTTAATGATATCTCTATTATCTTAATATATTTTAATTTGTTTATATAGAAGCCTAAGGAAGAGATTTATTGATAAATTGAAAAATAAAATAATATTTTGTAAAATGACTTGATGGGCGCTAGAACGTGATTCAGGAATTGATACAAGACTTAGCTCCTTAGTTGGAATTCGACTTACGAATAATTTAATCTTATCATAGTATATATATAACCTTAACACCTTAATATGAGGGCGGAATACTAGATTAGTTTAGTTATTCTTATTATACAATATATAAATTATATCATTGATGTTAATTACTTTCAAAAAAAAATAAATTGATGCAAACTTGAGAATGTTATTGTCCATTAGATGCAATACTGAATTAGTTTTTGAATTTTGTACATTTTCAACCTTATTCTGGCTCATGAGTGCATTTTTAAAAAGCAAAAAGAGATTATTATTGGACTTATGTACTGGCTAACACCAAATTAGCGAATCCTTAATATACCATTTCATTTTCATTCAAAAAAATTTTCTTCTACGAAGTTGCGCCAAAATGACGATAAATTTTTGAATCCCTGAGAACATGTTAGGGGCTTATTCACTTCTGTATATCTAAAATTTTCAGTAGATAAATAATTTTTGCTAAACAACATATATGCAAAATTTAATTCATTTTTAAATCAGCTCATAATTTTTTAATTATAAATGCAAATTTTGAGCTAGAAATCGTTTTAATTTGTTATTATTAATGATTTTTTTTGGACTCGAAATAATTTTCAAATGTATAATGATTATGATAAAAAAAAATATATATAGCAACGTAAAATTTGAATCCTTATTCACTCCACTAATGCTCTCGCTTTATTATTTATGAATATTCTCGAACAGGATTGAGAGAAAGGTTTCCCACAATAGTACAAGAGAGATTTTAAAATAAATGAAATATATCGCGTTGATCAAATTTTCCACAAAAAAACGGGGGGGGGGGAGGGGGGGGGGAATATAAGCTGCGAAATTAATACAATATAAAGATATTATATGAGGCAGGAATATGCTGCTACGCGTTTTATTTTGCGGCTAATATTTTCGATTAACACGATTATGTGGTATTGATTTAAAAGATTCGGAATTTCATCAAGTGCTAGAACTTATAAATCTAAATAACTTGATATAAAAATAAGTATGGGAAAGATTGTGTCCCATTTGATGCAACTTCGTATAAAACGAGGTTATTTTGGAGTTTAAAGGTACATGAGAAAATTTATGTGTTTGGCAAATATATAAGTCGAATTGCAATCCCGTTATCTTCTATGACGACTACTATATATTGCTTGGGGATATCCATCTCTAAGTGTTGTTATCTAAAATGAGACCTAATTAAAATATATTTTTGCAATTTACTACCAATAGATAAATAATTCCCTTCTATAAAACCCAAAAAAATATTCTTAAGGTGGGGACCTAAAAATCCTGATATGGAACGTTGGTATGGGCGAAGTTCTTTTTGAGTTATCCAATCATCCCGATCTCATATACTACGCCAGTTTCAATTACGACGGAAGTCGCATCGTCACCGTCTCCAAAGACAAAAAAATTAGGACTATGGACTCTAGGACCGGGAAAATATTCAAGGTTTTTGGAATTATTGCTGGGAATGATAAATAAAGAAAATATGGGTACAGATGATTGAGTGTGTCGTGTCATTATTTATAGAGAATAAATGCATCATTTTTTCAATATGCATCTTAGGTATTTTTGATCATTCTTAATCTTTTACTTGGAGTTGCCATAACATAAATGCAACAGGCACGTTTAAAATTTTTTCCTATTTACCTTTCACTCTTATATATAGTAAAATCGAACATTTAGGGTAAATTATTTTCAAAAAAAAATTCACTTTCTGTACACTACTACCTAGGGGGCGGGCAAATAACCTATATCAACAGAACCACCTAGATTTGGATAATTTTGGTGTACATGCCAAAGTCCATGCATCGTAAAATAAAATATTAAGCTCCTTGTTCTCATACTTTTGGAAATGTTGCAATTCAAAATAAGACGATTGGCCTAATTTGACGCCCGTCTATTTTCATAATGATTTAGGAAGACTAAGCATTTTACTCTAGTTTGAGTTCCTTAATTTTACTTTTTCTTAAAAATTATATGATGATATATTAGGAAGGAAAATGTCACGAAGGTGCCAAACCTCAACGAGCTATTTACCTCAAGGATGGCGCTATTTTTACTACCGGTTTCTCGAAAATGAGCGAAAGGCAATACGCACTTAGGACAGAGGTTAAATATGCCTTGGAACAGTTTTTTAAATAAAAATATATATGATTTTCTCTTGATACATTTTTTATATTTAAAATTTTTATTTGTAATCTATAAAAATTACACTCTTTACATATAAATTAGGATAATTTGACTTTGTTTCTTAAAACATTCAAATTTTTCAAATAGGCCTGGCCCAAGCTCCTTAAAATTTCAAATCAAAGTTTGGCCTGGTGTATGGTATTTTTTTATTTGGCTCTCGGTCTAAGCAGTCCTCTGATTTATTTTACTTTCTTGTCCCGAAAGTGGTGATTTATGTGTATTGAATATTAGATTTGACAAATGCATCTATACAATTAATGCCAAACCACAGGTTCTTCTTTAACCAAGGCGTGGGCGTTTTACCATCATACCTTATATTGTCTAACGTTTTACCCCACTGGTTCTATAATTATTGGAATAAAAAGTGATTGGGAAATGGAGGATCTGATGCCGATGCCATCCTCCTTGAGAAGAGGAGATGCTTGTCTCCATGATAAAGGGGGAAATTGTTTGCCTGCTTAGATTCCGAGAATTTAAAGAATGGCTAGTTAGTCTATGTAGAAAAAGGTTGTGATTGATCACAGGACTTGCAAGATTTTAATAATATATATATGAACTTGAGATCTTGGATCATCGAAATGAATGGTGTAGGTGATAAATTTCTATCTATTGATGTGAATCAGAGTATTAAGAGTAAAATCTGTGAATAATGAGGACACTCATTATTTTATCTCTCTATTATTGTGTCAATGTTGAGAGTCAGTACACATTCTGCATGTATACCAGAAGTTATTCTTTGAATTCCTGAACAAATGCAAGTCCAAGGGGATCATCTTGTTGCAGGATTAGTTAATTAGGTTTTAATAATGGTTCAAGCTAATTAATTCTATTACTTACGCTTTTAGTTTTATTCTGCGTAAGACTTACACAAACCGACCATTTTTTAATGTATGGTGATAATGATGAGTAGTATTATTAAACGGTTAGATTTTTGAAAAAATTATGCAAGTTTGGCGATTTTGCATGGATGACGGATTGGACATCAATTAACGAAATCTCTAGGCTAGCATAATATTGTTTTGACTAAAATCTTAATTTGTAATCGGCTGAATCGAACCTTTTAACAACACTAATGATGAGTCATGTTCTTTATTAAACTTGTATAACATCTTCCCTTAGAGTATTTTTTTTAAAAGAATGATCAAGTTTTTTGACAGAGGCTTGCTGGACGGGAAGGTTGGTTTGATGAGATCTTGAAAATAGATTGAGTGTATACTATTAAGTTCTTCAGTTATATCATTTTTGAATGAATTTATCATGGAAGATATATCTTTTATTTTATAGATCTGCAAAATCCAAAAAGGAGACCGGGTAGGGTCGGGTCTGGAAATTTTGATTACTTTTTATTTCTGATGTTTGGTAATATTTTTGGTACAATTTGTTCATTTTAGATTATTACTTATAATGAATACTAATAAAATGTAAAAATTTTAGGGTAATATTCTTATATTTCCTGTCGGGTTGAGACGTGAAGTTGATTTTATGTATATATTGGCAAACATAAAAAGGTAATTAGAAGGTAAAATAACCTATCCGGGCTCTCTACAAAAAAAATAAGTTGTTTTGAGTAAGAACATTTTAAAAAAACGAGGGGGGTTGTGTCAAATGTCTTTTGAAGGTTTCTAATACGAACCTGTGGGATATCTTATGAAATTTTAAGTGTTAAGATTTATTGGTGCATAGTTATTCATTATTTATTACGTATGTTAATAAAAATCTCTTTATATCATTAAAGTTTGTTTTATTTTTGGAAGGAGTAATTAAAATGTGGAAAATGAATAAGAATAATTGTGATCAGTTGTTTTAATAAAAGGATTTCAACATGTTTGTTAAATGTTTTGTAAACATAGCTCTGGCTCCTATGGGGATTCTTGTTAATATGTTATAATTCTAGTTATAGAAATGGTATCTGGCCAGTTAACTTGAAGTGAGATGGATGTAAATGATATATTATTATCTACTGAAGAAGTGTGGGAGTTCCCTGAAGATGAGCATCGTAGCTATGACATTTTTGTTTCACCTATTTTAGTTGGGTGCAAATAACATGTGTTTTGGTTGTCATATAGGACGTTTTAGTTGTCATATAGGATGTATTGGATAGTATATGATTTGTTATCAGATATTTTTTTGCTAAGTGGTTAATCCACTATGTGCTAAGATTGGATACAACAACTCCATCTATCACTTTAAAAGCTTACTGGTCAGACACCTTTTGAACACTACCCATACTAACAAAAATCCCCAGAGGTTCCAGGGCCTCTATTTGCAGAACATTTAACAAGCATTTTGATATCCTTAAATACCAATTTTGACGTTTAACACAACTAATTCGCCATGTTCTTATTCATTTTTCACATTATAAATACCCATTTATCAACATATAATAATAATGAAGATATCCCATCATGGAATCATATAATAATAATATCTCCCAAATGGAATCATTTCATATTTGAAAAAAATGTTGAATTTTATGGCTAATTAAGGATTGGCAAACTATATTATGATTGTTATTTTTACTAGTTATGCTATTTCTAATATTTTTCTCTTAATATTTTTCTCTTAATATTTTGCTTAGGAGGAAATTGATAATCCCATAATACTCGAAGAACTTGATAGCTCAAATGGTGTCCTTTTTCCTTTCTACGACCCAGACACGAATCTCATGTACTTATCCGCCAAAGTAAAAGATACTAAATATCCTAGCGATATTAAATAATTTCTTAGATAGATTTTACAATTAGTTTTAAGTGTTTCGATTTCTTTAAAATGATATTTTAGGCATCGTTTTTTTTACTCCCCAACCCCACTTCCCATTATCTCAAAATTGTGTTGAAATTTAAATAATCAGGGAGATGCGAGCATCAGATATTACGAAATTACCGACGAATATCCATATATCCACTACATTAACGTGAATACATCGACCGAGTCCATAAGAGGATTGGGGTTTATGCCTAAAAGGGGAGTTAATGTTACCACCAACGAGATCGATAGGTAATTTAATATTTATATATTTTTAATAGCTATTAACTATAGATGTGTAATTTCTATATTTTTAGCCAATTATAATGGTTTAACTTAGTTTTTTAACCAAAATTATCACCTTCAGGCCTTAATTTATGAAGTAAAAGAATAATAAACTTGTGCCTCCGTGTTTAGAACACTATGCCATATTTTTAGCTATTCAACTATACTATTAACTCTAAAAAATGAATTATATAATATAATAGTCAGTGTTTTATACAGCGACTTTAACAAGTTACAATTATGGAAGTGTAATTTGTTTTTATTTCCTTTTTTTGAGATGTATACAGCTTAAGAATGAAATATTATAAAGATTGTAGCTTTATACCCGGTTGTACTTTCTTAAAAATTTTGCATATTATATTGATAACACATTTAAGGCGGGATTCCTTAAATTTTAAGATATTAAAAAATATATAATATTATCACTCAATAAACATTCATTTTTTTAAAAGATTTTTCAAGATAACCACTAACGGTTTTTGCCAAGTGACTCATTTTGTAGTTCCACGTAAAAGTGAGAATTTTCAAGATGACCTCTATCCCGATACAGCCTCCGACGTACCAGCCCTCAGTGCCGAGGAATGGGCAGCTGGGAAAAATCATGACCCCATATTGGTTATTTAATTTAAAAGCTTTTTGGGTTTAAAAATATATTATTACTACTGTCGCTTGATTATTGAACCCTTCATATTCATTGGTCAATGATAAAAATGCACGTTAACTATAAGGCCTTAAATATTTTAAAATTTTTATGGATCCTACCCATTTTATTTCAAACCCATCCTGCCCGAAAATTTTAGTAAAAAATATAAATTAACGCCATAACTAAAGTTAAAATTTTGTATAAATCAATATTGCTATTTATATTTGTTTCAGTTCAGTTCAACATAATTAAATGTTTAAATTTAAGCATACTTATTATTTTAAACAAGCCGAAACCAGATCAGATATTGATTTGATAATTGGTCAAAATCTTTTATCAATATTATACCATTTAATACAATTAAATATGTTAGAATAAGCTTGAAATATTATTTAAGAACATATACGGAAATTTATCCTTGCCCCTATTTTTTTTTATCCACCAAATCCTTATGTAGATTATAAATGATGGATATGAAAGAAAGGCCCCTCTATCCTGATCTAAAAAAATTATTTTTTTTATCCGCCACTAGAGGTGGAAGGGTGGGGAGGGAATATTTTTAAAAATTATATTTGAATTGAGGATTACTAAATGAGTAAATTTATTCTCTATCATATCTTCTGATTTGAAAATCAATTCATATTACACAGAAAAAAATAATATTTTAAAACAGATGTCAATGAAAGATATCGCTGCTTCTTCCGAAAAACAACAAGAGTTTAAAGCCACCAAGAAGGCCAACGTTTTAAATAAAATGCCTTTAAAAGCCGGCCCTGGTTCCCCTGTATCACAAACCGATTCCGTAAGCTTTTTTACTTAGATCTTTAACTAAAAATAGTTATTTTTTTTATACTTGTAATCATTTCGATTAGAATCCTAAAAATTACCTTTGGTTTAGTTGAATATTATAGTTCCAAATTAAAGTCGAAAACAGGGTTTTCAATCGAACCTAAACCCCGAGGTGTGAACCGGGTTCGAATGACATCTTTCCTAAACCCGAACCTGTGTCACTAGATTTTTTGCCGAAACTCGTTGAATACTCTAAATTCAAAATCTTTAAATAAAAAATAAAAACCAATAATTTATTTATTTTTTGCTACAAAATATATTCTTTAAATTTTTTGCTCCAATTGTTTTATGAAAATATTTGAGAGCGGCTCCAGAATTCAGAATCTTGACGGGACTCGAGCCTCACCCCCTCCCTTGTGGATGCCACTGATTCAATACAATAAAAATTATCGAATCATTTATGTTATTTAAAAGATTATTAATATTTATAACATTATTTATTTTGTTTTAGTTTAGTATAATAGTTAAATTTTATATAAATAAATATACCCATGATAAATATTAAAAAAAGGCCGAATTAAAATCGCTCATGAAAGATTTCAAGGACATACAAGACAATTTCAAAAACTTCAAACCCGAAGATTTGCTCAAAGAAATTTATTTCCTCAAGGAAACCATGAAATCTTGCGAAAAACGATTGACGAATCTTGAAAACAAGGTACAAAGCCTTTTAGGCGAAGTTGACGTTTAAGATATAATCAGAGATTTTAAGTCAGTTATTTAAACATTCCTTATTCCTTAACTAATATATAGCTTTTTACATTACACTGATTCCACATTTTTTAAATTAAATAATTTATTTTATTTTAACTCATTCCCTTTCCCCACAACCGGAAGTGTAAATAAATAGATTATCTTGTAGCGCGTTTCTTCGGGAGTAAAGATTATACTAAAATAATTATAACAAAAAAAATATCCGCTATAAAAAACAAACACCAAAAACGAATCGTTGAATATTAAAAAAAACATAACTTTTTTGGATTTTACATAACAATCTTTTAACCGCGTAAATTTTTTTTTCTCTACTGCCTATTATAACATTTGCCTAATATCTTTAAAACGATAAGCTAATATAATTTTTTTTTAATCCTTCCCCTACATTCAGCTAGCGCTAACTCTCAGCGATTTATACAAAATGAATGTAAAATTATTATATTCATATCATTTTGTATACTTCGCTGCGAATTCGCGCTAACTATGAATGCAGGGTTAGCTTAAATAATGCACGCGATTTTTTTTATTATAAAAAATAATCTAAATTTGATAAAAACAAACTAATTTTGTTTTTAACAAAATCATATTTTGATTAATCAAAAAAATAATCTCAACATTTTAAACCTTTTATTTTATTATAATTTTTATTTATTAATTTTTATAAAAACAAAATTACGTTTAGACCTATGTATACCATGTGATATATAAATATAATATTTATTATTTAGTTTATTTTATTTTTTAAAAAAAGTCATATTTTTTTTGTTTGTATCTTGGAAATTATTATTATTTTTGATCATATTTTAAAAAATCCAATATTATGTCACAATAATTGTATCCAGGTTCCAATATATTATATATACTGTAATTATCACGTATTATTTTTAACATATTTAAATTTATGACAACAATCGCCATATAAATCAGACTAATTATTAAAATATTTTATTCCTGGTAATTTGCCTTAATCATTATTTACATTAAAAATAAATTAAATACTTAATTATATTATGTATTAATATAAATAATATTCTTATTCTTTAAGGATTTTTATATGATGATTATAGAAGGAGCTATAATATTTTATGTGTCTTTATAAGTATATTAGGTAAGTCATATATAATATCTTTATGTTCAAAGGTCTCATTATTTTGGAGTGACGGACATGACACAGAACTTAGATACCATGACTTTTTATCCCAGCTCGAGGTAGTTTTTTCTCTAACCTCGAAAGGGTTATGAATGAAGGTGGGAATTGTTAAATGGATGTTATTGCATTTTAATAAATTTTGGCGTTTGGTAAATTGTTAAGTTATGCTAGTATGCCTAGTATAATATACTTGTAATTTTTTATTTCTTTCTAAATTAGTATTGTTAAACGGCTCGATTTAACCCGAATTTTAAAAACGGCGAACAATATTTTGCCCAGAAAAATATTACACCAAGCCTGAAGATTTTTTTCATAGATGGCACAAAAGTTTCGACATTTATTAGGAAATCTTGAGGCTTAAGGTAGGAAATCTCGAGGCTTAAGGCAATCTATTTTGGCTAAAATATTGAGTTAGCCATTTTTAAAAATCGGCATAAATGGAGCTGTTTAATAACAATACTCCGATATATGATCTTTAGAAAAAATATCAGATCTGCCGATATTTTTTTAAAATTTAACAGATACCAATTTTATACTTATTTTTTGTTTATTATGTAACTAATTTCCCTTTCTCATCATTAACTCTCATAACTCCGATAAAAAGTGTGAAAGAAGACGTTACTTATAAAATAAAAATGCTTAATATATTTTTTTAACATTTTTTTTAACGATGAATTAAAGCATATTAATAAAAAGAAAATTACCCAAAATTTTTGTGTATTTTTTTTAAAATGTAAATTTAGTAATTCGATCGATCCTCTTAATTATTGGAGGAATAATGCTCGAAGGTTTTCACCTTTGGCAAACCTTGCATGCAAATATTTGGCATCTCCCACTGCTATAATAATGGCTAAATGTTGACCAATTCGGCTCAGTCTAAAGATGAGTGCCGCATAAAATCCGTTGACCTTAAGGCGTTTTAATTTAAACCAGTTTTTCAAATTTTAGTTGCTATATTTTTTAAAATAATATCGAGGCAAGTGATAGTTGGCTAAAAATTGGAAACCTGCAACCAGTGTTCTATCAGAACCAGTTTTTAAAACTGATGGTGATATAGATTAGAGGTCTGTATTGGGCGGATCTTTAGCCCGCCCACCTAAATTTCTGGCAGGCGTGGTCGGGTTTTTAAAAATATTTTTAACAGCTTTTTCAAGCTTTTTTTTATAATTTAGATATTTTTAAAAATTTATTTTGTACCTGACCTTACCTCATAAAATTTAAGCTCGGCTTGCAGGCAGTACTATTTACACTATAAATCTTTTATTGATTGATAATTGAAAGAGATCATTAAATAATATTGAAAAAATTATTAATTTTAATATGAACAATATTTTACTTAAATTTTTTTTATTAAGCCTCACAATTAATATATTTTCAAAATTCGTCTCACTCAAATTACATCTATAAGGAGATAGTATAAATTTAATTGTTGAAAAGCATCTTTCCACACTAACTTGGATAGCCGGCACTGCCAATATGATATCAGATTTGATGTGTCATTTATAATAATATTTTGGATTTAATTTTTCTCTAAGCATTATAATTTATAAGCTTAAAAATATTTTAAAAAATGTTGTAAAATGACAATATACTAAATTTTATAAAAATTATGACTGATACTTATCAATCAAATGTGATTGATGATTATCTTTAAAATAATTTAAATGTAATTGAAATTTTTTCAATATACTAATAATAACTTACATATTGTTTTATAAGCATAAAATCATGTGGCTCGAACCGGTTCAGAGACATTATAGCGGTTTGGTTCAGGCTCGGCGTGAATTTTTTTTAGCGGTTTAGGTTCGGTTCAGGTTCGATAAAAAATACCGGTTTTTAGCGGTTTAACGGTTCAGTTTCGGTTTGGATCCCTGAATTAAGGTTTTAAATATAAACAGGCTAAAGACTGATATGGGTGATCTAGGATTAAATTAATAAATATTAATTTTTCAGCTTAATTTCACTGAATTTAGATTTGGGCTAAGGCCAGGGTATCCAGATCTGATTCTTTATAAATATTTATTAACCCACTAAGAAAAACCGTGATTTATGTATAAAATTTTTGATATCAGCCATAAATGTAAAGGAAACTTGTTTAAAGCTTTTCATATATATTCCTGAAGTTCATATAAAAATCAACAATTTTCGAGGGAATTAAAAAAAATTATTGAAAACCATTTTTTCTTATTTACATCCGTAAATTAATAAAATCTTTTATACATAGTCAAAATCATAAAATAATTTTGCCATAAACAGGTATTATTTAAATATTCATCCATTGTTTCGAAATTTTAAATAATAATTCTACTTTATTAATTTTCATAATTTTAAACTAAAATAAAAATTGTCTTACCCCTAGTTGGCGCGAATTGGTGGCGAAAAATACAACAAATATAGTAAACTTTGTAGCTAATTCGCGCTAACTTACATTAAAAATTAATTAATTTTTTAAAAAAGTAGAATAATATCCATGTTTCTTTGCTACTTCAATATCTTAAATATTATTTGTTTTCTTTTTCTCTACTTAATCCAATGACATATATAATACTTAGACTGACGATTCCTTCATTAAAAGTGTACATCAATGCAAATCAGCTGGAGACGCCATCTTAGTTAAACTAATCATTATTAAAATTTTAAACGAGAGCTTAATTTATTCCTATATCTGATGCAAACTTTATTAAAGAATTACCGGATCATCGAGATAATAAGGAAGCAAGTTATCAATTTAAAAGTAATTTTTAACATGAGAATAATTACTATATGTGTTACCAAAATGGCAGGTCCAGCTGATTTGCTTTTAATAAAAAATCAGGGACCCGAACCGTTATTTATAACGGTTCAGTTTGGTTATGGTTCAGTATGTAAAAAATTATAATAGTTACTTTTTGGTTACGTAAAAAATTGTGTGACCCAATAATTAGGGTGTAAATGGAGAATAAAAACTAAATACCAGGAGAACTTAGAGAAAAACAATAGTAAACATGTTGAATGCCTTAAACTGAAAGATTAATTCCAAACATATGACATTAAATTATATGGTTCATTCCTCCAGCAGGAGAACTATACCAAAATTTTTCATATCATTTAGAAATTTTTTAAAATTAGCATATATTGCTTAAACACATGATATTTCGACGACTACAATTGTTATATTATAGAGGTAGCCAGGTAGAGTAGTTAAAAGATTAGATAGAGTATTATTATCGAAATTCAAAATAAAATATGTGATTTTCAAAAATATCAACTCTTTATACACAAAAGTTAATAAAAAATACAAATAATTTTGTAAAAATAAAATGAATAGCATAATTTTTTAATTTAAAAAGAGATTTAAGTTAATACACTTTTATAAAAAGAAGGTATAACTAGTTTTGTTTTAAATAAAATATTGTTTTAACAAAAATTTAGTTTTTTAAGATAAATTAGAATAGATAAAATAAAAAATGGTTAAATTATAAAATAAGATAGGGCTGTAGTAACGTACATCACTATTGGCGACGATACACCTATATCAAATTAAGTGTAAAGAAAGTTAAATTATTTATACAAGTAATCATAAACGCTTTTAATTTTATATTATCCATTCCATAAAGGTGCTAACCTAAAATAATATACCAATTTTTTCTTATAAAAAAAATAAACTTTAGTACTGTAAACAAAATGATTGCCTAAATATAGCAGTTTAACGAGCTGATCGTATAATAGTAAATCTATCTGTAAGCTTTAGCAAGATCGAGATGATTGCATATTTAAGAAAAAAATACTATTAAGAACTATAATGAATTAAAATATTAATATTTATATATATATTAGATGTAGTAAAGATCGATCCAGGTCGAGCTAAAATAGGAGTGGTATTATGTGCAAAAAATTTTCGGACCTAGTCAAACACATTTTGCAAAATATTTAATGACATGACTTGCTCGGAATTTTAAATTTGAATAATGCATATTTATCACCAATAATATTATTTATAATTTTAAAGTTATACCATACTATCACATCATGACAAGAATATTCAATTTCCAAGAGAAGACATTTGAATAACTGGCAAACATATTTTCGTTTACATTTTCTTAACCTATAATTTTATTTTAAGGAAAAATTTAATTTATTCTACATAAGGCGATTAAGTGGTTGAACATATTTTGTAAAAAAAATAATATTGTATAGGAGATTCAATTCAATAATGAATAAATAATATTTTTATTACAACTTTAAAGAATTTTTTCCAAAAATGAATTCTAAATTTAAAAATATGTTAGATGAGAGATGATCAAACAATGACGTTAAATAATTATCATTTTTAACAATCATTAATAATCGTATTTCATAATTATATTCAGGCAATTGAGATAAATTTATACGAAAATTTCACGTCACGAAACGTGAGCGCTCTCATTAGTCATTATTCTGTTATCAGCCATAATTATATATTTTACTTTTATAAGATAAATATATTAATATAGTTAGACCTATGAGTCGATAGCCTTATCGGCCGTGGAATTTCTTTTTTAGATCAATCGGCTGGCTGTAGCATACCGATTTATACGCCCCACTAATAGCGGCAGCGGCGGATCGGTGTCAAATATTTTTATAACTAACATTTTTTAATTAAAATTAAAATTATGAATTTATTGGAAACTTTTAAAATAAAATTTATGCTTCGAAGTAAATTATAACTATAAATTAAGTCATAGGAAATGTACCACAAATGTATAATCCTCCAATCTGTCCTCTACTTCCTCGTCAAAAAAAAGGATATCTCGAAATTAACAGTTTTTGCATTATCATTTCTAGGGTTCTCAATGCATTTTTTCAATAATGATATAAGTTTATTCTTTATAGGGTTCTATGGAAGTTTCATCCATGCCCATTGAAGCATGAATACTGGATGTATAATTGCAGAAAGAACATATTGATCTTCATATATATGTTCAAATCTTAAAAAAAATTATATGTAATTAATTTGATAGTGATGTTTAATTTATATTTTATTATTCCTATTTAATACTCCATATTTTAGGCCACTAATTTTTTTTAATTTTAAATTAGCTATCGTTATTGTTGAAGCCCATTTTTTTTCACTTTCTAAAATAGAGAGAGCAGTTGCAATAAATTCCATGATCTATTTTAATATTTAAAAAATTTATAATAATATTTTGTTCTAAAAAATTTTATTAGTACTTACGGTACAGAATCTTCCAAAGAACTTTATCATTGCCTGAAAGCCTGGCTAATCAACCCATGTCACACACTTTGTCAAACAAATTAGAATTTTCTCTTACTAATGAGTCTATCAATTTCAAAGAATTATAATAAGAATTCCATCCCTTATAAGCAAACTTGATAAATTATTTTTTAAATCAGCAGAAAATGATATAGATTGATTTTGTTAATACCATAAATTTTTGCATTTATCAAATGATCTTTTTAATGTTTTTAAAAGATATATTTTCTAATGCTTTTTCAACTTCAACACTTGCCATTAAATTAAGATTGAGGCAAGCACAAGAGCGATATTTGGGCAGATAAATAAAGTTTTCATCTTTATTTTGATTTCAAATACCTCATTTAATGATAATGGTACAAATTTATCTTCATCATATTCATATATTTTCTCAAATAATCTATCATTTTCTTAAAAATAAACATAAAAATTCAAAATATAAACTATTTATTTATACCTAAACGCTTTTAAGAAATTTCTTGCATTATCGGTTACATATAATGTTACCTAATAATCTTGAAAAGATTCGAAATAGTTTCTACTAAATAATCAAATGTATGTTTGCTAGTTAGCCATTGACAAGCTAAACATGCCGATTTTCTTTCTACACTGACTGCATCCAACCAGTGGACAGTCATGTCTAAAAATGAATTAATAATATATTTTCAAATTGATATGATAACCATGAATCTGTTGTGATGCATAGAATTGTTTGCTTGGCTAAACAAGTTATTATTTTATCTAGCATGATGCTAATCTTTAGATATTTTTGATATGAGGGTTGGGCGTGACATAACTTTTTTTTAATTTGGTTAACGTATGTTCTGTTCTTAACAAATAAATAATAAAAACTATATTTTATAAACTCTTCTTATTAAATGGTATTGGTAATAATAATTTAAAAGTATATTTAAGATACTCTAATTTAGCAAATGATACAAGAATCTATATTAGTATCTCTATCTAAGATTCATTTTCTCATGAAGAATCTGTATCTGTATCTAGATTCTTTTTCCGGAGGACCTGCCCAACTCTGTTTAAATTAAAATTTATTAAATAACAAACATTTTGCAAATGTATATTTGATTCAAATTTTAATATTTTTATTATAATATTTGCAGATTCTTTTAATTCAATAATCAATATCTTATTTTATACAAAATATTTTAATAAAAATATTAAATTTATCATTTATAGCATTTTAATATTGTAAATAAAAATATAAAATCCTAGGTATAGTAGATTCAAAAAAATAATTTTTACATCAAATTGTGTTCAACAATTAAAATATAAAATCCTTGATTAAAATAATAGTAATTAGATTATAATTTCAAAAAATGACATTAATAATAAATTCTAAATGACATCAACCATTTTATATGATTTTAAAAATAAATTATTAACTTGCTACTTAGTTATATTATATAAAATGGAATAATTAATATTACAATATATTGTCGTTTTAAATTGAAACTTGAAGATTTTGAAACTTATATAAAACTTTTTGGGCACATTTTACATTTGGTAAGTATTGAATTAGTTCCTTCTATATAGAAAATTACTGTAAAATATTTTTCATATTAGGGCCATGGTAATGTTAATTCATCTGATTTTTAATTTTCAGAATCTGATGATGATGATGAAATAATAATATCCATGTTTGTATCTATTAAATTAAAATATAAACTATAATATTTAAATTAATAAACTATAATAATAGCGTTAAAAAAATGATATATCTGATTAAAAAAATGTAAGACTTTTTCTTAAAAAAAATAGGATTAATATTAAATTTTTCAAATAAATAAAAATAAAAACTGTTTTTAAAATTGAATGAAAGGAACGATTTCGTTCAAAGTTCGTGAAAAATAAAAGGAATCATCATTTTCCAAATAACTAACTTCGTTGACGAACGCGTTCAACACTACTAATTTAGAATAGTTTATTGAGCATCAGAAATTTTTAATTGATGAATGTTAATTAAAATAACCATTTCAAGATGTAGATAATTAAGATATGAGCTCGAGATTAAACACTTCACAGAAGATATATTCAATCTTTGGGGACCTATCTTGGTTAAAGGCTACCTTACCAACTAAATCCGGAGGCATTGGCATAAGGTCGCCCTCCCAACTTTCCGTTAGTGCCTTTATATCCTCTCGTCTGTCTTGCGACCCCATTATACACACATTCACAAAACATCCTGACCCCTTGCTTCTGTAGGCAATTGATCTATGAAAGTCCCTCTCATTAGTCGATCCTCCCTCATGGCAATACAGAAGGGCTAGGCTAAGCCTATAGTTAGCAGCTCTGTTGCATACCATGAATCGAGGAGCCAATCCGAGGACCATTCTCTACTCTTCTCCATTTCCGAAGACAGCGGGTACGCCTAAGCAATGATGAGCTACGTCTCGCCATCGGTCTTATATTTAATTGTGATATGGTGATATCCTATCATTGTATCCTCTGTCAAACATCTGTCAACTCCGAAGGCCGTCACTCCTTGCAATGCAAGCGCTGTAGAGGCAGATTCATTATGTATTCAAAATGTAATGATACTATTGCCAGCTTGAAATCTGCTGGGATCACACTAACCCTTGAGCCTATTGGCCTTTACAATTTCGATGGTAAGCGGTCTGATGGTTCTACCATGATCCCTTGGAAGAGGGGGGGGGGAGATTCTAACCTGCTGTTTTCTCATGCACCGATTCTCTTGCCCTTCTAATAAAATAGGGATGCTCTACTGGATGCTGAAACGAATAAACTCGTTAAATATTCGTCTTCGCTACCTTTTCAACTATACTCTCCTACCACTAATTGCCACGACTCTAAAATCGTTCGGCTGTCATGGCCTGGCCTTCTTTAAAGAGCTGAAAGGATCTCTGTTAGGACCGAGGATCCCAACGAGGGATTCTATCTATGTCAAAGGTTAGCCCTAAATATAATAAAGTGCAATTATACTCTCAATGACCGAAATCCCCTGAACATCCTATGCATAGGATAGGCTATTTTTCTCCCAATTATAATGTTGACGCTAAAAGGGAACTTAGATTTCAATCGATAAAAAACAGCAAAAATTATTGACCTTATATAATTGTGATTTACTAATATTAAATATTTATCCCAATAATTGTGAAAATTATAACTTACTTTGTAATTTTATAATCATTTTTGACTTTATACTAAGCATTTCACATTTTTTATAATTATCATGGACATCATCATCATTTAAATAAAATAAAGATATTTTTTTAAATTTTTTTTATAAAAACATTAAATAAATAGTGGTTAATTTTATATTGAAATAAAAAATTTTTACCAAAAGATAATTAAGATATTCATTTATAAAATATTGTCATTAAGTAGTTGATGATAAATTTAAATGTTAATAATAATTAAATTAGTGTATAATTAAATTTATATATACCTAAAGAATGAAAAAATGTGAACATAAGTCTTTGACAAGTATTTCTTATTGTAATATTTCATATTTATAAAAAAATTCTTAAATAATATATTCCCTAATTATGTTTATTAAACATCATAAATTTATAAATTAATGAATAGAATAATTAAATTATTGTAATAATCATTTTAATATGTAGATATTTAAGATAATAATTTATAAAATCATTTTAATATGTAGATATTTAAGATAATAATTTATAAAATCATCAAATAGATAGTTGTTTATTTTTTATTGAAATAAGAAGGTTTAACAAAAATATAATTAAGATATTAATTAAAATATTATCATTAAATAGATGATGATAGACTTAGATGCAAATTTTTATATATCTAAAGAAATATTATCATAGGTTTTTCACAAGTATTTTACATTGTAATATTTAATATTCATAATAAAATTTTAAAATAACTTATCATGGCCAGTTAACCAGTATATAGCCAGTCAATACATACCATGTTTTGATAGGCCAGAAAAACAACTTTCACATAATCTCATCAAACTCATAAACTATTTTATAAGATAGAGCTTTGATTCAAATTTTAATTTAAAGAAGAATTGTGCTACGCATGATAAAATTTATTTGGGGTTTTTAAAAAAAG